AGCAAACGCTTCTGTGAGCAGATTCTGGAAGGCGCTGCAATCTGCGCCATGAACTTCTGATCACATTGCCGCAAGCAAGTGCATATCCTACGGCCGAAGTTGCAGTTACCAGTACAAATTACTTAGAGCCTCCCTGCTTCCTAACAATAGGTCGAAGGGGTGCATCTTCTATGCGAAGTATAAAGGCAGCGAATGTCCAAGAATGCATCGCAAATTGCACGCCGTCCTGCTCCGAGCGTCAGATATCCAAGCCAGAGCTCAGGGGGCCTGAGTTGTTTTAAGATGCCGATACTTACGGAAATCCGGGCTCCTTCTGCCCCACCTTTGCGGCCACAGGCTGTGGATGCCCAGAATGGTAACCTGGCCTTGCACATCTCGGCGCAAAATGGCCACATGGGGCTGACCAGCTTCCTGCTGGAAAGCCGTCGCCTGGCAGCGATAAGAGAGCTTGCCTACAGGCCTTTAGGCTTCTTGCCACATTTGGGATCATCTGGTTTACGATGATAATGGACCTCTATTTTGGACCACCAAATAGTAGGATTCCCTTATGAAAAGGACCCCAATCAATTACACCTACTTTCGGAAACCCCCATTTTTTGTGCACATGGCATCCTGACGTGCAAGATGGTTTCAAGTTGGCTCCCAGTTCCGTACGGCCAAAAGGTGCGAACGTCAACGCGCAGAACTTCAACGGCCAAACAGCCCTGCACATGAGCGTCGAGTATGAGTCTTGGTATGCAACATTCAACATTCAACTACTTGGGCATTTGAGCATTCTGGAGAGCAAAGCCTTCACCAACCAGATGGCCAAGAGTAAATGCGAATAGTGCGAGAAATTCATGCAGTGCCCTACCCCAAAGCCCCAAGCGCTCTGTCAGATCCCCCGCAACATGAAAGGACATGTACTTCCAGACCAAGCTCCTTCTCGATGCAAAAGCAGATCCCAACCTCGAAAACAGTGGTGGCCACAAAGCACTGACAGGCAAGGGTGTGAAGCATCTAAGTCAAATCGAGGTTTTGAGAAGTGCATGTTGCACATTAAGTTGCGCATAGCATGATAGCATGTCATCATATATCCTCGACTAGTGCTGAGAGGCCTGGAAGGCGCCAAGACCGGTACAGATGCCTGGGACAATCCCATGAACATCCTCAAAGCCGCGAGTGACACAGAAGCTCCTGAGCTACACTGCGGTTCTAGAAGAGGTGTTCTGAGAACGATCTGGCGCTTGCGTGTCCTTCCTAGGAAGAGCTCAAGCTGGCATTCGAAGCGTTGGCTGCTGCCGACGCTAAGGATCGCCAGCCTTGCCTGACAGTGGTCAGATACGTTAATGTGTCATAAGGCAGCTGGTAGAGTCATCACGCTGCCGAAAACATCTGGTCGTCTCCCTTCGGCTCACAGCGGAGCAATCGCTGTCCGCCTGCTCATGCAGGACTTGGACCGGGTCGTGCTGGCTCAGACAGGCACGTTGCGTTCCAAAAGTCGAGAGGTCGAGTCGATACTTCTTATACTTCTATAGGGCTTGTCGGGGAATCTCGTCTCAAAGGCATGCGCAAGCGAAAGCAGTGCCCACAGCACTGGAATGCGGACCGCTTCAAGGATGGACATGTGCGTGTTGAAGAGGCATTCTTGGCACAGACGCTTGCGCACCCATCCGCAATCCAGGAGATCATGCAGAAGTTCTGACTTCATGATGGAGCTCTACGCATAATTGTCATGCGTGATTGTGGTTGCTGGCAGTATGCCCTTGATAGAGCCGTTCTTTTGTTCTAGCTGCTTGGTAGATGATAGCAACGAGCCCTCTGTACGAAAAATGACATCACATGGCATCGCACATCGACAGCTGTGCATCAGTGACCGCCAGCTTTCCACCGACCTTTGCTCGCAGTCGCAGTCTCCAAATGGAACTGCAGCTGCTAGGCACGCTACGGCCTAGTGCCGTATGTCAATCTTATGCTGACTGCCTTCCATGTGCGGACACGCTAAACACAAAAGCTCAAAGTGATCTGGCTGGAGACGGGCGTAGGGCGTGATGAAGAGCTGTTCAAGCGAGATCGCCCCATTCGTAGGAAGAATGCCGCCTGTGTAAATCCCCGAAATGCTTGACCAGCTGAATCGAGAGTGAATCGAGCATCCCCGCCCAAAGCCGCGGGCCAGAGCGTCATCGAAGCAGGCATCGCCAAGCATCCAAGTCATTAACGATCCTCACAGCAGTTGCGAGACAAAGAGGCCAAGGTTTAATGGTGGAAGAAAGTGGTCATGCCTGAGGTCGTATTTCAACTATGTATCAACTATACACTTGCTGCGCTTGCAGCGGCTGCACCCTTGCTTGGCAGAGACTGGAGGCATCTGTGAAATCCGCAGACCTCCTGACTCGTGTCAGCAGCAAACTGTTCCAGAATTGTCCTTGAAAGATGCACAATGCAGCACAAGATGTAGGCTGTTTGCTGCACTTGGTCCATGTAGTTCCAGCTGCATCTAGCATTCAACACGTGTGCTTTATGGACCGCGCCTGTGCCGATGCGAACAAAAGGCAGTGTTCACTAGGAAGTTCTTCAGGAGCTCCCGTCAGTCCAGACAGCCTGCTGAAGCGAACATGAATGTAAGGGCTTGTGAATGGAGGCCGCGGCGCGAATCGAACAACCATGAACAACAAGAACAGCTTCACCATTAACATCGCTGTGTCTATTTTCTGGACCTTGAGTGACCGGTCAGGACCTCCGCCAAGGGGCACGCAAGGCAAGCGAGACGAGTGCCAGCCTCGGCAGGCCTCTAGCCCCTCTCGAGATAACCCCCGCAGAAAAGTAGTGTGAGAGCGATGCGACATTCTTTCGCAGCCGGATCGCTGATATGCATACTGCTGGCCCACGGACTATGTGCTTCATGTCTTGAGTCAGGTGAGTTCCGCATAGTCGCTAGGCCACTGGACAAAAACTCAGCGTGAGCAGAAAGACCAACTGGCGGACCAGCGGCGAATTAAGTTAGACTGGTTAGTCTGGTTCGTTAAATGACAGTTATGCGCTCTTGCGTGGCCTGCCAAGTGCCACTGTGCCACTCACACCTACTTATTTTGCTTAGACGGCAGCCCTGGACAAGCTCAGACATCAAACCACACGTTTCGCCACGCCAGCCACACGGCAATAGCTGTGCGCCAGTGTTCCCCCTACATTGCCCTACATGCTCGTCGAGCCCTGCCATGGAGGGGGCCAAAGTGTACGTGCAAGATGCAAGGCGCCTGTCGATTCAGCGCCTTACTTGTTATGTTCCAATACTGCATGTCCTCTCACATTTTCCCTACATGGCTCAGGGAATCCTGGCAGCGGGGCACCGTCCAAGCAGCTCTGGGCGGCGGACGCTACAAGGTGGCCTCAACCTGCCCTGCCCTGCTGAGTCTTTTAATCCTGGTCAAACCTGGAGTTTCTTGAGAGCTTGTGAAAGGTGGCGCTGCAAGGCTGGGAAGAGGAGGAGCCCCAGACAAGCCAGACAAGAGAGGCCCGATCCTGATACCTTAGGACCTCGAACAGGAATCCCCGCCGTAGGTGGGCTTCTCGAGGCTGCTGGCCACGACTTTGTCCCTACAATGATGCTGATGATGTGTGGAAGGATGCTGATGGTGGTGGTGATGCTGCTGCTGAAGGTTAGGAAAGATACTTCTTGAAGATGATGAACTTGAGTTTCTGTTTAATTTGACGATCAAGTGGACATCGCTTGCGTCCGTGCTTCTGGACAGGCCTTGACTCCTTAACTTGGCCCCTTGGCCCTTGTCTTGCGCTGCAGGTGGATGCCTCCAACATGGAGGGCGGAATGCTACCCTTTCAGAACGCAGACATGCCAAACAATGGCTTCCCAGTGTGGTCCCCAGTTCTGTTGGGGCGTGTTCCTGCATCACCGAAACCTCTGCAAAAGCTTCTTCATGGGCCCAGTGGTTGATGATGATTGTTGACTCTCATGCATGCAGCATCTGTGGCGAGTCTGCTGTCTGAAGCATCACGATCTGCATGAAGGTGTTGAACATTTTTCAGGTTAGCTATCTTAAGGCCAGGCTAGCCTCGATGCGGGCATGCTGGGAACGCTGCACGGTCTCATTTCCGCATAACACGAGGACATGACCACGCTGGACCACTTGCACGAACCAGCGCTGCTGCACAATCTGCGTCGGCGATTCTTCTCCCAGGTATGCCGCCAAAAGGGTCGACTTTGGCGCTTTCTTTTTCAACTTGAGTCACTGAGGATTGAATTTGCTGATGTTTGCACAATCTTGCTGCTGATCTGAGCTGGCTGCCACTTCCTGGCTCAAACTTGGATGCTTGGTGTTACCCAAGCGCCTGTGCCATTTGAGACACGGGCGGGCCAACAAACACGATGGGCAGTCAACATGTCAAACTCGATGTACATAGCCATGTTGGTAGAAGCTGCGCGCTCACATGTCTAGCCAAACCACCCCCCTTATCGCAAATGAGTCATGATTTCGCTGCTTTGCCACAACATTTAAATCCACAAAGCTGCTTTGCCATGGGCGGTGCTGTCGGCAGTGCTGTCGCGGCAACGCGATGTTGCCAGGCGTGCGAACCTGGCCAAGAGGATTCTATCGAGATGGACACCTCGACCGAGGAATTTGCAGCCAGACCCTGGAACGATGATGATGCAATTGTCACGACAGGCATGTCATTGCTAGGGCATTCAGGGTCAAAGTCCAAAAACATGTCGAGCTGCTCCTGCATCGGGGCAAATGAGCTGGCGATGCTTTCCCTGTTTCCAGGCCTACGGCAAGGGCAGACCTTGCTGGACATGCTGCAGGGACACTGGCGTCGGAAGGAAGATGGTCAGCCCGTCGGCCAACTCTCCGGAGCACTTTGACTGAACAGCGGCATGGCAATGCTGTGTCCCGGAAGTGTTGTTTCGAAGAAAAGCTGCGGTTTGCAAGCAGTTCAGGCTTACTTCGTGTGGGACCCTCGTTGGAAGTTCGCAGACATGGTATCGCCCGTCTTCGAGGACCTATCAGGACCCTGCGCCATTTCGAGCACCTGCTGCGTCACTTCGCTTCAAGACACAGTTTAATTTGCTTGTAGTTTCTGTAGTACAGTTTGTGTAGGAGCCTTGGTCATCGATCTTGAGAGCCAGCTCCACTTTGGGCGCCCCTTCTTCGGCCGTGAGACCTTGATCAGCTGGGGCGACGGCGATGTCTGGGTGAAGCAGTGAGAAATGGAGGAAATTCATCTTAGAAGGACTATGCTATCACACCCAAAGTAGCTATCAGGTCGACTTTCGCCCATATCCCCGCATCATTGCGTAGCGTTCTTCTTGTTTATACTGGCGCCGCGGAAACTACTTAACAGTGAACCTGCAAAGGTTGTTGAGCAAACAACAACACATAGGCGGCAGGCGCCATGTGCAGGTGCATGCATAGCAGTAGCATGAGTAGTAGCACAAATTTCCAAACAGTTGGTATGCCTAGAAGTCGTAGTAGTAGGCATCCTAGTCGTAGTCGTAAACGACAAAAATCTGCATGGCTGTGGTTGTCTTCGCCTGTTCCCGAATCGAAGTCTGTCCCAAGATACAACATTGCTCCGCCAAAGGGTGGTTCTGGTGTTGGTGAGAACGTGAAGTGGTAGTGGTCCCCGTGCTCCCCCCCCCCTGCCCCCCGAAGGAAAAAATCTTTCGCAGATGCCTTCACAAAGGATAGAGTTGTGGACCGTTGGGAGTGCAGAGCCGAGTCCTTGAAAGATGGCTGTGCCCTGCTGGTAAATGCACTTCCCCAGCTGGACCGCAGGAGAGTCCGCATATGTCAGAGTACATGAGAACATTCTAGTACATACCAGAACCAAGAATGTAATATTCCTATGGAGCGGGTATGAGATGTGCAGACTCGAATGCTGCAGACTTCAGACCTACATTTTTTTCAATGCCAAAGGTTGTGATTCCGGGTGCACCAGCATATTGAGCAATGGCAGTCGTAGCTACCTCTTTGCTAAAGTAACTTCTTGGCTGAGATTCTTGGCCCTGCACACATGGAAACGGGGTCAGACAAGCCGAAGTGGCACCATGAATCTAGCATTGACTTCTTGCCAACATTAAGTTTGGCATGTGCTTACTGGACAGGAGCAGCATGTCTGTGCAATGGTAAGTCTCGCATGAGTCGGACAACCTGAGAGAAGTGCGACATTGGCAAAATGCCAGCAATGCAGGGTGTGATGGACCCCATGCATCACATCGCATCGCAGTGTCTGCCTCGCCTTTTCATGACCTGGGGAGGCTTGCCCGTATACATACACTGCAGACATTGTCATAGCAATGAACCCATACCGCTGCTTGGCGGCAAGTCAATCTCCAGGAGGTATCCTGCCCCGACTTTCTGATAGCATGAGGAAGGCGTCAGCCTTGTCAATGAGGGGCATGTTTCATCAGGTGCCAGTGGCGAGGGCAAGTATTCTGACAACTGACAGCCTTTACAACTTCTCATGAGGTTGGTTCCCTCAGCTATACACGGACGACAAGCGAAAGGAGTACCTCGTTTTTGATCGACCAAAGCTGGATCCGCATGTGCAGCTTGGTCTTGAAAAAAAGGTCAGACGGTTTCCTTCCATCTGTAGCGGTTTTGTGTCGATGCTCCGGCATGCGAGATGCCTGAGGTACACGACTTCATCTTTTGCGTACTCAGGCTTTTGGGAGTCTTCTGGGTTGCTTCTTCTGGATCCTGAACCTGTCGCAAACACGCAGGACTGCAGGAGACGAAGTCGAACCAAACCATCCTGGTCTCTGGAGAGTCTGGCGCAGGCAAGACAGAGACGGTGAAGCGGCTCGGCTCGGCTAAATGTCTGGCTGAGGCCCATGATGGCCCTTACGAAAACTGAGGATTTTGATGGCCCACTTGGCTTTCATGGCTGCGAAGCTGCACGTAAGAGCTGTGAAGGTAGGCAGTGGCAGGCATTAGCAGGGGGGAAGGCCCTCGGAAGGAATGGATGATGGTGCTTCGAAGGGATTTGTGTTCGGGAAGTTGCCCTTGGGGGCTTTCCCACACCCAAGAATACAAAGGGGGGGGGGGGGGTGTGCAGCCATTTTTCATGACAGGCCCTGCGGGCCTCAGGAGTGTAAATCCAAGGGGGGTCACCGGGTCACGTAAAGTACATTGTTGCTTTTCAGATGCAACGAGCGGGTCGTGTCCTGGACCTCAGCGCAAGCGGACTTTTTCAAACTTTTAGTGACGTCACCTCATCTAACTCGAAGTGCCACTCTGTGATAGGTTCTTTCACGCGCACTTACAGCAAGCTTGCGAAAACAGGAGATGGCTCAGCTGTTCATGTGCTCCGAAACTTGGACCCCCCTCAACTTCCCTCAACCCCTCAACCCCCCGCTTTATTACATTTTCAGGCCTGATTAATGTGATATGGTAGGCCCCCCGCCCTTCCCTTAAAAAGAGTTAGGCGCCGCGGGGTGGGGCTTGTAATCCAAGAGCCCTAAAGAATCCAGAGAGAGGATGCCAGGAAGCTGTCGACCCTGCTTCGCCCTAATCTCAGTGATTCGCATCCCGCTTAAACGTCCAGGTCCGGTGGCAGGGTCTCTGACATACAGCCTTTCAATTGGCCAAAGCCATTTGCTCAATGTCGAGCCCAAGTTTAGAGGAAAAATAAAACGCCCTTTCCAAAACGATCTCGGTATCAAGAAGTTGTTGCACATGTTGGATCACCTTCTCTTCTAAACGGTACCAGCAGCTTGCGGGCAGTGCCTCAGTGGCACTAATGCGCGTCCTAACGTTTCGTACTCACATTTCTAGGAATACGCACGTTGAAACAGACCGTTAACGAGTCCAAGCTCGTAGCAACATTCCAGATTGCTTTTTTCAGACTGAGCTGCATCACACAGCAAGGCTTCATCGGATGACCCTTGGAAGCAGCAAGGCCGCGTATGTTTAAAGATGCCATTCGCATCTCTCTACTTGTCAAGGATGCATCGCACATCAAGCGCATCGTTGAATCAAATCCCTTGCTGGAGTCGTTTGGCAATGCGCAAACCGCACCAGCCTTAGTTTCCGGGATGTTGTTAGTTTGGGTTTTGCATGGCTCTGGATTTGCGTGCTGAAGAGATGCAACGAACGCGACGACAGATCCTCGCAGATCTCCGGCCAGCAGCCAGTTCAATCTCAGTCCAAAATCGAAAGACACCGAGCATGTGTCACAACATGTTCAACACAAAGCCAGGCATGGCCACTGCTTCACCCTATTTCGAGAAGCCCACCCTTCAATGAACCTTGAACTGGGTTCAATTGGGCCCGGTGACTAAGCTGATTAAACTGGATTGAACATTAGGGAGGCCATGTTTGTGGCCTCCCGAGCTCATACGCCAACCCTCAGAACCATCCAGAACCCAACTCCTCACCTTCTGGTAGACTTGAGTTTGGGGAAGTGTCATAATCATTGTTGAATTTTACACTGGGAATTGACGTGTGTCACTTGAGAGGCAGAGGGAGCCCGCGAGTACTGTATTCTCTGGTGCTCGGGTCCACAAGGCTTTGAGCTCCCTGGACTCCCCTGGCGTCAGCTTGCTTAAGCATCGCAGTCGCGTCAGCTCTAGGTGCGCAATGACAACTCCAGCCGCTTCGGGAAATTTATCGAGTTGCAGCTCAACAGTGGCTGCCGCTTGGAAGGCCGGGCCATCCCCCAGGATGTCAGAGAGTCACACAGCACTTAAAAGGGATCGCGGCGTGAAGTACCATTGGTCTATTCTCCCGAAGGTTCCAAATGCAGAACCTACCTCTTGGAGAAATCGCGAGTAGCCACCGACCTGCAATGATGCCAACCTAACCTCCTATAGGTGCGAGCCTTTGGTCATCCAAGGTTGGTCAGGATTCTGGCGTGCCTCGATGGCAGACGGTGCTCTGCGGTTCACATAACTAACCCTAAACCCCTACCCCGACACCCCCACTCTGTGCATAGAGTTCCCGAGCAGTGGCGAGGAACAGAGCTGCCCCACTGGCGCATCCTGTAGCCTTCTCCTGCGATGTTTGTTCTGTAACTGCGGTTTAGGGCTTTGGGCTTAGGGTTTAAGGCTTAAGGGTTTAGGGGACAAGGCGGTTTGATGTTGTGAGCCAGTGGAGCTTGTGACACGTTGTTGGCAAGCACATGCAGTACTTTGGGGATTCTTGGACACCGAGAGCTACCAAGGAGCGAAATTTTCACATATTTTACCAGATGCTTGCAGCTGATGCGGAAACTCGCGCGGCGATTGGTCTGGGTGATTCATCGCTGTCCCGCGATTCGCTCAGATATACTAGTGGCTCACCTGACATAGCCTGACTCTTGGGACAGGAAACCAGAGGAAATGCTCCTGGTTTCAAACTGATCAGGTAGTTTTTCTGGCTTCGATTGTTGTGTTTGAATGCTGGCGCGTGGGCTGCCTGGTTCTCGACTCTCTCTCATCTGGGCTTCTGCGTCATTGTCCTCGGCGGAATTCTGCACTTGTTATTTCTGAAGGGAATGCTAAAGCGTTAGCATGTTCAGACGCAGGCCAAGCAAGGAGATGTTGCTAGGACGTGCTGGATGTTACATGGACATGGCCGTCTGGCTTGTCGGAGTGGATGAGGTTGATGCAACTGGCAATTTTGCTCAGAGCAGTTCTCCTTTTGCAGCATACTGCTTTGTCGTTGGCATGGAGCTAGAGTCCAAAAGCGTTTTCAACCTGCATTGTTCATACTCATGCTCGGTCCCTGTGTGCACTTGGTGAGGCTGCGTTTAGAAACAAGTTCTTCTGCTACTAATACAGTAGACACAAGTGTGGACTTACAGTCGCTTGTCCGAGACGTTATGCTGGAGAAGGGGATGGATGCAAGAATGCCCAGGTTTGGGTGCTTCCAAGACCGATGCTATCGAGGGCAAGAGCGACGCCGAGCGTTTTCAAGGTGTCTCGGCTCGGGGATTTTGTTTCGACTCAAGCGCAGCATCCAACTATTGTGCAGGATGCCCGAAAAGTAGACTACCCCGGACTACCCAGTGCAGTACTGAACCCTTGTGCTTTAGTTGGCAAACAGGGTGAGTGATGGGCTTATGCGAACTCGCCATGCATCACGCAGGCGCAAAACACTGTTTCCCTACCATTGCCATAACTCCAGGAGGGTGCAATCTTTGCGGCTCTCTGCTGTGAACACGGGTAGTTATGGTGACGCCTGAAACCATGCTCAAACAAGACTGCAGGCACTGTTTCAGCTTTGGCCCTGCTCTCCATTGATGGGGACAAGCTCACGCGCTTGCTGCGGACACTGGCTTCCGTGCTCTTGCTTGGACAGTCCCATGTCTGATCTCAGTCTGCAACGCAAGCATATGGAAGCTGGTGAAGCGTTTCCGAATCTCAAGCTGAACAGTGGTCTCTTTCTTGTTCATTCGTTCATGATGGGGCCGATCCAGTAGCATACTGCACGCTGCATAGCATCTGCAAGACATGGCCTTGGCATTTGGCATTGCGAGAGTGAATCGCCGGTGCAGCTTGCAAGGCTGGAGTTTGCTGGAAGATGCTCGCCAGCAAAGCTGCCATTTTTCGAGGGCTGGCGAACCTATTCAGAGCAAAACTGCCCCACAACAACAGTTCTCAATCAAGGATGAAAACGGACGTTCTGCACCTTTGTTCCACCCGTCTGTTCAGATGCTTCTAGATTCTAGTGTTAATGCAGCGTGCGGAGTGTCCTAATCTTTGAGCTCAGGTCTTGTTTTGACTCATGCCTGAATCACTCATGGGACAGTTCACCGAATGCTGCCCTGTTGATTGATGCTATACAAGAATTGTTGCAATAAGCAACCTGTGGGGCTTTTCGCTCCGCAAACAGGCGAGGAGTCCTCCAAGCTGTCAGACTGCGCTGGGCAAGCTGCTGCAGCGGCCGAGGTGCTGGCTGTCGATGCTGCTCGCCGTAAATTCTTGCAGCGCGATGAGAACACATTGAAGAAGCACCTACTTCCTGTGCAGGCACATGCAGGTGACGATACCCGACACACTCTAGAGATGCATCTGAGGTCGCTGAGCTGGAGCCACTCGAATGTGCAGACGTTTCAGCACAACTTTGATTTTCTTCCCGCATCGACAGTAAGACTTTCTAACCGAGCATGATACCCAGAAATCACGGATCGTTGCAGCGAGTGTGTCGTGTGCTCATGCTTCTGTTGCAGCTGGCTTGCCGAGTGAGTTTAGTTCAGTGGCCACTGCGACTGTGAGGCAATCGCTCACACACCGCACCCTACGGATGCGGAATGAGGTGGTTGTGAAGCAACTCCCGCCATCCAGTGCCACTGGCAATCGCGTGGTGCCCAGGTCCTGCTTGCCCAATGCTTAGCTGACAACTCGCCCGTACTGAAAGTTGAAAAAACATATCTGAGCTGAGGTGACGCGCTTGCGAAGGAGATATACGCAAGAGTGCTGGGCGCTCGGGCTGCCCACGTCTCTCCGCTTCCCAACAGCTGGCAAAGTAACATGTCCATGCACTCCGACATCACCAGGTTTGATTGGCTTGTTGAGCAGATATGCCAAGCAACTGGGGCGCCGCCGCAGAGTGCCCTCAACTTTGTAGGCCTCCTGCCAGAAACAGTAGCGGGAGACGGTTGAATCATTGAGAAAAGCAATACTAGTAGTGCCGGTTCATGTCGGTTACCATTTGTTCTGTCAGTGGTGGGGGTTTCCATGCACAAGCGGCGATGCACGATCTTAGGCTTACTGGAGGCTTGACTGCAGGTACGAAGCCAATGCGGCAGATCGTGCAAAGCTGGTAGCAACCGCATGCTTGCTCTCAGAATGTGGTCCTGCCTTCTGCTGCATCTACAGTTGCTGCTGCATCTACCGAGGACATCTTCGGGTTTGAGTCCTTTGCGATAAATCGGTTCGAGCAGCGACTCGGAGCTAATCGCGGCTTGCGGACCAGAATTCTGAGCAACATGTTGAGCAAAGGCTTTGCATAAACTATGCCAACGAGAAGCTGCAGCAGAAGTTCACACACGATGTCTTCAAGGCCGTCCAGCAGGAATACACTGCTGAGTCTTGCATGCAGCAGGCAGCTGTACAAAGTACATGCGCAGTGCAGAGCGCTCTTGGGCAATCCAATCAGTTGCCAACGTGTGGGAAGCTGTCCTGGCCACAGTCTGCGCCAGACGAGCAAGTCTCACGCATGGCCTGGCCCACCCATACTCCCTAAACCCTAAAAACCGTAAAGCCCTAAAACCCTAAAACCCTAAACCCTAAACTTCCCTGTTCATCTTTGTTTTTGCTTCACTCTTGGTGCGTGAGACGTGTGCGGGGCTCAGCGCAGAGCTCAGGAAGGCATCCCATGGGATCGCATCGAATTCAAGGACAACGCCCCCATTCTGGCCTTGTAGCTCGGCTCCTCTCGAAGTTTAGGGTTTAGGGTTTAGGGTTACTGTTGGGTTTGGGGTTTAGGGAGCTTTTGCAAAGCTGCGCCAAGAGATCAAGCCAGCTTCTGATGCTTCCGAGAATGCCTGTCGAGGATGGCAAAGACCCAACTGTAGGGCCGAAACGTGTGCATCTCTGACGTTCCGGGTCGCGGACTACTCTAAGGGGAGTCCGACGCTGCACTCGGGTCGGTGTCGGTCACTCGGGTTTCAGGGATTACGCGAGAAAAAAAGTTCCTCCCGACACCACGCTTTGGTGGCTGACCTCGCCCACGGGGAGTCACCGATCGGGTCAATATTCAATATACAGCCAACGCACCCTGAACCCTAAATACCCTAAACCCTACTGTAGCCACATGTGATCTGAGGATCGAGTCCAAGCTGGGCATTGTGGCCATGCTGAATGAAGAATGTGTTCGGCCAAAGGGGTCGAATCAGTGCCTGGGACGCGACCTCCAACATCCTCCAACCATGAACAGCTGCATGCTTCCTGTAAAACTGGTAGAAACGGATTCGATGGGAGGTGCATGTGCAGGAGTTCTTTGTTGTTTATTGTTTGGGGTCGAATGGGCCTTAAAGGAGGGACCAGAATGGACCGCTGGGCCGGCCGAGCATTGGACATGCTGGCAATTTCCGAATTTCCGCACTGAGGAACTTTGTGTCTAAGCTGCTCTCAGTGCACAAAGAAGATGCAGCTTTCTCAGTGCCCAAGCTGGGCAAAATGAGACGCTCGGACGTCGTTGGCCCGACAACTGGCAGAAGTTGTTCGAATAAGCTGTGCTTCTGTGACACATCCTGGCCATTAAACGTCAGATTGAGCAGCGCACAAGTCAGACTGGTGACCATGGCAGCAAGGAGAGTTGCAATTCTGCATCCGCCACTACGCCGGTGAGGCACCTGCAAGATGCTGCAAGACCTCTAACATCCTCTAACACAACTCATGTTGTCACCGTTTCTGCTGCCGCTAGGTGATGTACACAGCAGATGGATGGCTAGACCGGAACAACGACACTGTTTCGGAGGAGACGGCTGAAGTGTGTGTGGGTTAAACCATAGTGTTGAGTGTTGAGGTCCAGCTGCGAGCAAACTTGACGGCATTGGACCTTCCGATAGGACGTCATCAGCCTCATGCGGGGCTCGGGCAACGAGCTTTTGGCATCATTGTTTACAGAGGAGACGGGCACGCAACCCTCATCAACCATCAGACTCGCTGCTGGCAGTTCTCAAACCTGAACCCTGTCAATGTTTTGATGCGTTTGGCGCAAGAGCTAAGCGACTCGTGCAGGAGTCCAAAGCCAAGCGGGACACTGCCATCTGGCAGCATTGGGGTTTGCAGTAAGCCTTTGCCGGGAGTTGCTTTCTGCATCTGAGGTTGTCACCAAGTTCAAAACATCACTTGCGCAACTGATGGAAACCATTGGGCAGACAACCACTCAGTACGTCAGGCGCGACTCAGAAGGTTTCATCATCCAGGCACCACTTTCTTTCCAGGCAGGTGTCGTCATGAAAGCATCAGGTGCATCAAGCCCAACCAGAACAAGTCACCCAAAGAGGTCAACAACGTGCCCCATCAGCAAGATGATAGCAACGCCGATGAGGAAGTAATTACACAGGTTTCTTCGTTGCTGTCCACCATCGTGTGTTGTGCGATTGAAATCGCCGAGGAGATGGTTGTTGATCAGCTGCTTGGTCTTGCAAAGATCTTTACCGTGTCTGTGCGTCAGAAATACTGCCCCACAAGCAGCGGACGAAAACAGCAGTGACATAAGTGAAAGGCGACAGCTTCACATCCTGTACTTTCAGGGATTAGGCAGGGCAGGCGCGGTGAAGGCCAGTATGAAGAAGTGCCGATGGCACGCTCTGCAGGAGGAGTCAATCCATGCATCTTAGGTTGCGCTGCGCGGGCGTCATCGAAGCTATCCGCATCTCTCGGGCAGGCTTTCCAGCGAGGATGCCTTTGAAGGCAGCGCTCATGCACTCATGAGTGCATTCATGCCTAGTGCGCATGGGTGGCTGCGCACTTCCAGCCAAGGATTTCGCTCAGCGCTTTCGCTTACTGGTGCAGAGATACTCTGCGGCTTCTTTGGCGCGCCACGCAGAGAGAACTCCAGCGGTCTGCAGCCGAACTTCACTTTGGCGCAAGTCTGCCTTGTAGGATCTTTCAGGCAAATTCAAATATTCGAAAGCCGAGCTGCGAGGCCCTTGATGGCGACGATGCAGCGACCTGCCAGAAGCTGCTGGGCGCGTTGGTGAAAGATGCGGAGAAGTATCAGGTTGGTCGCACGCGTGTCCCCTGGATGCAGTGGCACATGGCCGTTTTGAAAAGAACACGGCGGCTCCAGCGCGGGCGCCTTCGATGGCCCTTTATGTTCTCACGCCTTGATGACGTTGATGCCAAGGTCTACTTCAAGAGTGGTGTTCTGGAGTCGTTGGAGGAAAGGCGTGCGTTGCTGACTCCTGGCTTCAGGATGCTTCCGGCATCCAGTTACTTCGGTCAGAAGTCGAAAGGCAGACGATGGCATGAGTTTATGGCATGTAAGCATCGAATGCCAGCCACATCTAATGACAAATTCCCAGGATGCAAGCGGCAGCAGTCGAGCTTCGGGCCAAGTTGGCGGAACACCGACACCCCAAGCAACCAGATACAATGTCTGCAATACAACACAACGCTGCAGCACTTGGCTTTGAGGCTTGCGCGCATGGTGCGTGGTCACCAAGTCAAGAAGCAGTTCCGACAGATGCAGCTGGTGGCCAGGCGTGTGGGCTGCCTGAGTTCGTCGCATCCTTGTCTCTTCAGCCAAGCTCCATGTGCGCCAGTTACCTATGCTTGTCTTTGTGACCGCACTGGGTGCACTTCTGATCTGTGTAGTAGTCCGTGATTAAGCAAGGCTGTGTTGGGATCGGGAATGTTCATGGCCGTTGCTGTGGGCGCATTCTGGTCCCATGTTGCAGTGCAGGTGCACGCAAGCCATGTGGAGGATGACAGTCGCCAGGGCTGCTGCTGGGTATGCATGAAAGCAGAACCACACAGTTTCTTCAAGCTTATCACAGGAGTCCAGCCAGCACACGTCACCCACATCTTGCATCAACTCGGCAGAGCCATCGGGTCCACAGTTTCGGGCAACTTTGCGCAGACGTTTTATCTAAGGCTTTTCAGCGACTTCGACGGGTTGCTGTGTTTAGTCATGGCCCCAGAGCAAAGCTTGAAACTAGGTCGGCTTTGAAGGAGCTGCGGCAACATGGCGCGAGCAGCTTGCCTTTTGCAAACACACGTTTTGTGATGAGGGGCACCTTCGAGATTTGGCTCAGATCATCTTGGTTTCTTGCTGTTGGTTCCCTGTAGCAGTGCTGGTCAACCATGCCCAACCCGACCGCGACGTTTGAGACTTCAAAGGGCAGCTTCACGGCAGAGCTGTACCTCGACAAAGTCCCCCGTACTGTTTCGAACTTCGTGGACTTGGCTCAGTCCGGCTTCTACGATGGCCTACACTTCCATCGAGTGATCCCTGACTTCATGAATCAGTTCGGCTGTCCGTTCTCGAAGGATCCCAAGTCTACCCGCGCTGGCACAGGGGGGCCGCCAGATGGGACCTTCAAAAACATCAAAACAGGGGCTGATGAGAGGCGGTTCAACGGCGGCAACATCGAGGATGAAAACATCTCAAAGGACTCCAACCTGCCGGGCACCTTGTCCATGGCAAATACCGGCGAGCCCAACACTGGAGGATCCCAGTTTTTCATCAACGTGGCTCACAACAACTTTCTGGACTGGTTTGACAACTCGAGCCCTTCGCAGCACCCAGTCTTTGGCCAAGTCGTGTCTGGCATGGATGTCGTTACGGCAATCTCCAAAGCTCGGACACGTGATGATAATCCCGTCGAGCCCATCAAGATGATCAAGATCACCATTGCGTAAGAGAGCAGAGAAGATCTGATGCAACTCTCTTGAACGTAGGCTTTGGCCCGAATCCCTTTTGACAGCTGCTGGCATTCCCGGCATTGCCAGCATCGTTCCGTGTCAATACCCTGCAGTTTGGTCATGTTTTGCCCCTAGTGGCTCTAATCTTGGCGAGGAGGGACATCACTAGAATGCTCGTGGACAGAAAACTCCAAGCCCACGCGCTTTGCTTCGACCGTCAACTTGTATGTGTTGCATGCCACGGTGCCAGCACTGCTTCTTGTTTTTCTGGAAACGTGTCGGTCTGGCAAACTAAACCATAGAGAATGAAGCTCAACAGCTAAGGTCAAGCAAGGCGCCGCGCTGTTCTGGCATCCCGGAGGCAGGGTGAGCCACATCTCAACTGGCCCGCTTGTTTGGGATTTTGTTTTTCGGCCCCCTGGAATTCTCTGCTGCTACGGTCTACTCGTCGGTTCCTCTGGCTCTCATGGATCCAGTACATTTTTGCACTTTCCCCCTATAATTAATATTTTTGTATATACCGTAATTATATATATATATATATATATCACACACACACACACATGGCTGAAAGGCACGTGCACGGCAGAGCAGTGCAGCGCGCCGAGGTATAACACGATGTAACACAACATGCTTTTACACAACAAAAAGTAATAATGTCAAGTGGATACCCTCAGTTTGCGAGGGTATGAAATGGTGGCACCCTACCCGCAACATGTGCAAGTTCTGGAATGGTCAGTGCTACCATTCCAGACCCTAGCCCGAGGACCACTTCAGACCCTTGGTAAGCGCAACCTATCGCGCAGTCTTGCATGCAAAGGTCTGGACTGGTCTGGGTCCCTAGGGTCTGAAATGATGCGGGGATGTCCGTGTGACGGCCCCAACGCGGACCATGCAGACCCCGATTTAGGGTCTACAATGGTGGGTTGAGGGTCTGGCCCTGCACTCTGAGGGGATTCAAGTGGTATAATATGTTATGACGCAAAATATCATGTAGTGCCAAAATGCAGTATGCGACAGGTATAATTTGATTTGTTTATATTCGTATGTGGCGCTGGTCTCCCTACACGCATCTCACACCACCTCATTCCACTTCACTATAGTTGACCTCGTCACTCTACTCTACCAACCTGTGCCGAACCTTGCGGGGGCCCTGCAGCTCATGGCATTCTGGTGTGAGGCTGCAAGCATTACGGCGAGAGAAGGCTGCCACAGCGCTGCAGGCGGCTTGGCGCCGGCGGGGTGCGATGAGGGACGCTCGGATCTTCACAGCGATCTCCTGCGAAGTCATCGAAGGATGTCCGAAGGATGAATTGCTTAACAGTTTTTGCTTAAGCGCTTCAATTGGTTTACTGCTCAATGCTGTTGGAAGCTTCCTGCTCATTGGCTTGTAAGGAACTGGCGACAGCAAGGAAGGGAGCAATTCGCTTGCAAGCTATGGCAAGGCGGGCCTCGAGTGAAAGAGGCAACAGCAGATACATGCACCCTGGCAGGCGCTGGCTGTGCAGACGACACTACATTGTGAGTTTGGCGGAGTTCAAAGAACAGGCACGTAAAGGACGTAAAGCTTCAATAACGTGGAAAGCAAAAAGCGGCAGGTTTGATCAGCTAAGTAGGCGGCTTCCGGAGTAAGGATAGGTTGAGAGGAAATGTGCAGGTCTGTACTGGGTCACCGGGTTTCCTGGTCTTCTTGGTGGTCCTGGATTCCTCATGTTTCCTATTTTTCATGGTCCTCTGGGCACCTCGGCTTCTTTGGCTGAAATGGTTTCTTTGCGCGAGAGTCCTGGTGTCCTCTCTCCTGGCCCCCTGGTGTCATGGTTGCTTCCTCGGATGCCATTTGAATTTCGTAGCCGACTCCTCTTCTCACCCAGTTTCCTTCAGTTTCCTTGGCTTTTCATCAGCTTTGCTGGTTTGTTAAGTTCTTAATGCTCGGCTTTTCGATGTTTCTTCGGTCCCTTTTTGTTCCTTTGTCTCTTGTGTTGTTGTCGGAGCCGAACCGAACCATTGCATTCGGGAGCCTTGCGCGCAAGAATCTCCTCGTGTGACGACTGATGAAGCACGCGAACCCACGTTGCTTGCACCCGCTATACCCAGACTCCGTACTCTTCAGATCTCCAAAATGGGACCAAGATAATGCAGGTCGGAGGGCGTGTTCCAACATGAGGTACCCCTCCATTTCGATTTTTGAGAGAGCAAGTGCCCGAGTGAAGACTGGTCGACAGAGATGAAAGCCCGCCGAGCACTGCGACATGGACACGCTGGGATCGGACTGCTGTGCGATATGGGGGTGTACGAAAATAAGGGGCCCCCTTAACACAGACCCCCAAATAGCAGGATTCCCTCAGAATAAGGACCCAAAAAAAGGGACCCCCTCATCTCGGAAACCCCCATATTATCCATATAGGACCCGAATCCTCCCTGCAGCTACCAATGCGGTGCAGGCCAAGCTCGAAAATCAGGTGTTCCTTGGCTGCCAGTGTAGGCCACTGTGCGGTATTGCGACAGAATCCGCATTCGGCCTTGAGTTGGGTTTAGGGTTTAGGGAAGCAGCTTCCAGGTTCAAAAAGGGTTTAGGTATTTAGGGTTTAGGGTTAGGGTTCAGGGGTTGCCCTAAGTCCCCTGCAGTGTCAGCTGATGGCCAAAGCAAGGAAAGCTCTGAAAGCCAAGCTGGAGGCACAGGCACCTTCTATGCACTTGTTTCCAGAGGGCAGCGATGCCAAAACGACACGTAAAGTATTGTCGGATTGGGAAGATCAAGCACCCCTGAATCCGCAGATAACAGCGGCAGCTCTGAGGAACGTGCAGCGAGTGCGACATCAGCCACTTCATCCGAGGCACTGCGCATCACTGCGCTTAAGTAGGTTGGATGCTGTGACATGTATCTCCATGTTGCAACCTGCACGGGACAAATTCTTGCAGTGACAAGAGCCGTGCCTCAGGCAACACAGGCGCCGGCTGAGATTCTCGAGGCCCTCCAAGCCCTGGCGGCAGAGAATGCGAAGCTTCACATGGACTGAAACTGCCGGGTGATGGTCAAGGGATGTGCATTCACATGAACAGCGTGCCTCTGCCGGAGGAAATCGACAAGCTTCGTGCTGAGAACGACAAGCTACGTGCGAGCCCCATCTCTCCGACAATGCACATGGTCACTGAGTCTCAAACCATGATCCATGATACTGCCTTGGCGCACAGGTCGCCAGAACCACCAGTTGCGTGCCTCGGAAACGACGAGGGGCGCCTGGCTGCAATCCTTCACACGCGCCTCGGCCTGCTTTGCCGTTTTCACCGGTGTTAAGGACGCTAATGAGCTAATGAACATTTGAGTTTTTTCTTCTATTGCAAAGAACTGGTGTTCGGACATGTTCAAATCATGACTCCTCCATTCCAAGTTTGGGGTGATTTGAAATTGGGTAAGACGGTGGGACATGGTATGTGGACTTCGGGTCAGGGTAGTCTAAACTCACGTTAGGGTTTGTTCAGGATAGGGTGGATTTTCGGCTAGGACTCGAACAAGCAAACCGTATCCAACACTTTCACGGGCCTGACCTCGGATTGCCTCTACAAGCTTCACTTAACTTGCCATCTCGATCGGGCCCATGCCCTACATTGTGCCCCACATTGCCTCCCTACTCCTGACCTGACTGAACCTAACCCAGCCTAAGCCAAACTTATCTTGCCTGTAGTCAGGCGACCTGCCCGACCTAATCTAACACACCCTAGCCCTAAACGGACCTAACCCAAGGTAACCCGACACCGAAGCTTGGTGGATCGTCTAGAAGCACCCAAGCTAACCTAACCACCACCAAACCCAAACTGCCAAGAACTAACCTGGCTTCTTCTTCCCAGTTAGGCCCGTTTTGGAGTCCCCTGTGATTTTGTTGGCGAGCTGTTTTCGGTTTTGGAGCATGCTTGTTCTTTGCTTGCTGGTGCGTGGTTTGGAACATCAAGGCCGCGAAGCCATTCCCACAGCATATCGCGGTTCTTGAAGCTGACGTCTTTGCTTCTGGCTTCTAGCTGTTGGGGACTGGGGGGTTTCATATGCAAATCTTTGAAAGTAATGCATGAGGGGCAAAATGTCAACAATGCGGCGCTATTCCTGTGGAGGTTAGGCCAAGACTACCAAGGTTCTCGAAAGCACATTGATGATGACCGGTCGGTCGGCAGCGCCACGGCTGCACACAGCGACGAGACATCGTGTAAGTTCTGGGTGCTAGATGTTGCTAGTCCATCTCTGGGTAGACGGGGCGGGGGCTCCAAGGCAATTAATGAATTGAGCACGTCACATTTTGACACGTCCATGGCTTGCATATATGCTTGAACACCCCGCTTTTGCAAGTTCGCTTGCTTGCGCACTCACACTATAAAGTGCGCAGCGGAGATCAGTCTCGCGAAAGCACATGCCAGAGTGCAGTTACAGTGCCAGTGCTGCTGAAGACAAGTTTCTGCAGAGTTGGCAGGTTCAGAGGCCACTGATCTTCTTGGCACTTTCTTACGTGGGAGGTAACCGAGATCAGGAACCGTTTGCTAACACCTCCAAGGGTTCAAGGCCTTCAAGTGAACAAGCTAGGAAGTGCGCCAAAAATCGCTAACGGGGCCTGAGGCCTGGAGTGGTGGGTAACAGATTTGCCTGGTTCCGGCACCAAAATCGCTACTAACGAGCTGAGGACTTGGTAGATTTGCTTAGTTCCTGGTTGGTAATGCACCAAATTCGCAGCTAACGGGGCCAGCACCAAAATAGCTACTAACGGGGCGCGAGGCCTGGAGAGGTGGCTAGTAGCAGAGCACTCGGCCCAAAACGCTAAGAAAGGCGACGAACGGGCTGGCTTGGTTGTCGACGAAACAAGACATGAAGAAAGTCAGTGGCCGGGGGATGCGTGTGAAGACGTCACGCGCTGGTGATCCTGCTAGCTTTCGGCCCCTCCAGTGTCGTGCAGATGCTTCTGGCGTCAGGAGACAACGCCTCTGAATGCGAAAAAGAGGACCTGCACGGCATACTTGGAGTTTCATCTCATTGTCCAATGGGTAGCAGTCATGTAACTTGAAAGGTTCACAAGCAAGAGGTCAGAGGCAAATCCTCGAAAGCCAGCGAGGTCATCATCTGACAACCATCACGCCGCCATTGAACCTTGTGGAGATACAACGATTAAGACTGAGATGAGTAGTTGACACGTGTAGTGTGGGTGGGGTCATAAACTTTGCACAGGCCAGACTACTGTTACTCGGAAGGGCTGAACAGCCTCTGCTGCCCAGCCTCCTTAGCCCTTTGCTGGACAAGTGTTGGAGTCAGATGAATGATTAGCGTTGGCTTTGGGTTTGGCCTGGGGGAGTACCCAGTGCCACCAGCGGCGCATTCTTCTCATTCTTCTCGCAGCAGGACCACGGTACCCTCACGCCTCGGGCTTTTGCAACGTCACCTGGCCAGCTTTAATGTGCAGAATTGAGTGGGGTCTTTTGTGGAGCGGCCGCAGCTGGGTTCATCTCAGGACAGCACCGGAGACTCCTCAGCAGGTGCTGTCTCTGCAGCTGTATCCACCGCTCAACGAGTTCTGGGAGGAGCCATAGCAAGGTGCTTTGCTGGCTGCAACAGTCCCGGCAGCAGCATCAACTGCACGTGCAGTTGCGGAGAGGACGTGCCATGCAAGGGCATCCCATATCTGCAGACGGGCTCCCTTGTCCACGTCAAAATGGGTCCCAACATCCTCTTGGTGGACCTGCACGGAAAAAGCCTGGTGTGGCAGGTACCGACCTAGACTCTAGACTCTACTGTTTTGGTCTTTCTTTGAGATGTCTGGAGGGGCAAATGTTTCATTACAGCTGCAATTCCCCAACAGGATTCTACAGATTTCGCAATTTCGATGCGGCAAAAAGGTGGTACGAACCAGATCTTTTGAATAGTAACATGTCGTGTGGCTCTGATGCGCCTCTACGTATGGAGCAGCTTGCAAGATCCAAGCACCTCACGTTCTTTCAGAACGCAAGAAGCACATATGGAGAATGGAGACAGCGTGCTACATCACATAAGTAAGATCACACACACATATATATGTATACTGTATACATATATATATATATATATGTTATGTGGCATACATTGTGATGCATAGACCCCCCCCCCTCTCAGTCTCCTCAGCTAGGTTTGTATGTTAGAGTTTGTGGCCGTTTGCTTTGGGATTGGATTTTTGAGGCACAGTGCAACACTTTGAATCTGAATACTGAAGTAGAAACAAATATCAACTAAGCAACAACAAAAGCAGCACTTTCCAGTACTTTGTCAGAACTCCTGCTTAGTGCAAAGTCCCGGGAGTTTGGTGTTTTCATGTTTGGTTTGAGTTTTAGGTTGTTATTGTTTAGCGAAAATACAAATACAGGGCTGGAACGTTCCAGTAGTGTTTGAGGAGTATGTCGCTAAGGTTCATTGGGTCCAAGGAAGAGTTAGCGACTATAAGTGGTAAATTTATTTATTTAATTCGTGGGCAATGACTAACTTTCCCTCCGAGAGGGAAAATCCTTTTGGTGATGCTTCGACACTGGTAAACGAGCTGTTTGCCTAGGGAGCTCAAAATATCCGAAGACCAGAACTGTTCTCTCAAAATCGCTTTGCCACATGCAGCATCTAGACTCAGCCAATGGTGGCTTATTTGTCACGATGTGGAAACTACGGACAGGGTTCGTTCTTGAGGGGGGAATTTGCTAGCTTGCACAGATATACGTACACGTATATGTACGTGTGTGTATATGTGTATAATATAAATATATATAAATAAATAAATAAGTATATATATATATATATATATATATATTCATGTCTTCATTTGTATGATCTAGGAGGACCTCGATAAACCTTTGAGATGGTCGTCAACTTTGCAACAGAATGCTGGCGGCTAGCCATCATCATGGGCCTAAACCCTAGACCCTAAACCCTGTGTATCACGCCAGATTTAGTGACCTACCAACCGATGCCTTGCCGGCCTTGTGCGAGTGTGAGTCGAAACCCTGTTGCACAGGCCTGGATGTGCAACCACAGCGGCTATCGAAGCAGCATGGGCTTTATCGTGGAGCGCTGTGTCGAGCAGAAGCCGAAGCAAAAGCGATTCTCTCTGCTGGGTCCCTTGGCAGGGTTTAGGGTTTAGGGTTTAGGACTTAGGGTTTAGGGTTTAGGGTTCAAGGTACTTTCTGATGTTCGGGCAGCAGCATCAGAAGCACCATGCAGGCAGCTCGCCAAAGGACGAGCGGGCCTGCCAGGAGGGGAACATTGGTGAAGCGTTCGTGCTCCGATCAAGCTGGACCAAGACACCTGCACCTCAAAAGAGCAAAACATCCTTTCTGTTCTTTACAGATGGGAATGCCTGCGAAATTGTGGGCCTGGACCAAGGAAGTACGTCAAGATTGGAGGGCTTCTCGATTGGTATGCTCTGCAAGTTTCAGGCTAACATCCCAGCATCTGTTTTTTCATGTTGTGTTTGCAAGGATTTCACATAATTTATGCGTGCTCCAGGCCGCAGTGCCGATGATGCGGCTGTGTTCACCTACAAGCCCTGAGCTTACAAAGTCGTGGATGGCGGGCAGAGTTTGAACTGAGCAGAAGGTTCGGCTGTATTTTAAAAGACTTTCCGTTTGCGGTAATCGTCTATGTGTGAGGCCCTTGCACTCCGGCAAGAGCCCGAGCTTCTGGTGCTTCTCAGTTGGTCAGACAGTGACAGTTATCGGCCTTTTTTTATTAATCTTTTTTTGGCATACACTGCACACGCCAGCTGAGGGGATTCCAACAACGAGCATGGTCCTCAGTGGGGTTTGATTTGATTCGTTTGATTGCCCGTCATCTGCGCCAGCTTCGTATTGTCAGGTCTTACAGCTTCGCGTTGAAGCTGCATGGGAAAGACAAATACCTAAGCCTCCAGCCCGATGGCTCGGTTTCAGTGGCCTCTTGGAAGAACACTTTCCCCTTTTGCATGCCGGATGCTTCCTGAGTATCAGACAACCCTCCGCTGCAGATGTGCTGAGGACAAAGTATCCGATGATTCCGTGGGCAACAACCACAGCCTCATAGCAGGTTTCGAATGCCTGCTGCCGGCCACATCCTATGACATAGCGCTGCACTTACTACTGTCCTGTGAGAAAAGCAATGGCCGCCGGGCGGGAATGATTTTGCGAAGGGGCTATCAGAGCAACCGAGGTCATCTATGAACAGCAAATCGGTTTAACCGTGAGCAAGGACTTGCCGCTGAGAGTGGTTGGTTTTCGACTTACTGGTCCTCCTCCGCTCCTAGCACGGATGTGGAAGCCTATGTTAGCCTGAGGCTTCAAAAACGTGGTGCACTCGGGACGACCCCCGGAGGCAGGCCCTGCTGAAGCAAGTGGCCGCGTGCGGGTGGGTGCGGATCTTATTCGACCGGTGCTTCTCAAGCAGTCCAAAGAAAGTTCAAACTGGCGAAAAGAGTCTTCCTCAGTAAGGTGATGTGATCACCTCTGTTAATGGACAGGACTGCCAGCACATTTGCCAACCGCACATCTGCTGTCGCACCACTTGTGCCAACTCCAGTGGCAGAAACTCCATCCCGAGGTACCAGTACGTCCGGTGTATCAGTCGCGGTCGCTTGTTTTCGGGTTGTTCTTCCCAGCTGGCTTGCAGGGTACTGTAGCCACAAGTCTGTCTCACGGTCAGCCCAGTGCGAGGATCTTGTTCTCTCATATTCTTGACGTTCCTTTACCAACTTCCCGCCCCGCAGTACTCGGCTAGACCGTGAGGCAGCCTTTGCCTCTCGAATAGGTGGGTTTTTTAGCAGACCCTAAGCTTGGAGCAATTGGGGCAAGAGGGGCATGTCCTGTTGGGCAAGTGGGACAAGTGGCAGGCAATTGCGTGCCTTCGGGACCTGAAACAGTTCCTTGCCTGCCTGTGGAAGCTGTAGACAGGACGTGACGAAATGGGAGCGTCAGGCTGTGCTCAGCCTTATTAACGAGAAGCGGCCAGTCACCCTTCGATTTCTCTCGAAACTTGGCTGTGTTGCTGAGCACGCCCTTGTCCCTCCATTTCTGCGACTTGTGCACTTCTAGATTCTAGACATCCTGGATGGCCGGAATGAGAGTGCTGGTCATGGAACGTCTGGATTGAATGACCGGGCGGCACGTTGAGCTGAGGATTGATCCAACATGAGACCGTTCGAGTGAAGGAGTTGGAATGTGCCACATGCTAATGTCGCAAGCCCATGTGATGGATTGGTCAGCCTGGGTTTGCGCTCCACGGCTGCTTGCTTTGTCGGAGCTGTTGCACTGTTTCATGGAAGGCGCCTTAGTCCCTGCCACTAAACATGGGCAACATCTCCGATGCATTCAAGCCGTTGAGTCCTCGTTTTCCGTCGCAAGCTGGAGCAAAAAGAGGTGCAAGTGCTAGCAGCGCGAATGAAGCATGCGGCATGTTGGCGATAAAGCATGCTGACGATGATGCTCGGCAAAGCTCATGCAAGCATGACTTTGGCTTCGGCCCAGGCGTCGCAAGCATCAGCCTGGCGTGCAGATGCAAGCTGCCTTGCATTGCCTTGCCACGTTCCAGTTGAGTTGCGAGAGAAAAAAGAAGAGCCCTTGGGCTTTGTCATATGCCTGCGCAGCCCACCGCGTTGCTGAAAGTATAGTTCTTCAGGACCGCCGCCGCTGTGATTTACAATGCGCAGGTTGAGTGGAGGACCCCACCAGGACCCCACCAGGCAGAGCATCTGGCATGTTTGTGGCTGTCAGGGCTAACCGGTAGGTTGTGTAACCCGTAGGTTGTGAAAACAGGACCATCGCAATACCAGCGGCAGCTGTTGCATCTGAAATGAATTTGCCGGGGATATGATGGAGGGTGCATGGGCTGTGGTTCGAGGTTCATTGGTGTTTTTCCAAATCTAAGTCTTGACTCCAAACCCTTTTCCCATGTTGACGGCAAATTTGCGTAAGCTTGAGCAGCTTACTCCTGTTACAGTCGACACAGGAGTGCTGCGTTGAGCCAAGTAGGGCATCCTGCTCTCGAAGCAACAGCATGCACTTAAGTACACACTTGCACTGCTGCACAGCTGATCCCGAGCCATGTTGAAGCGTATGCGACTCGACCTCATATCGTCACTCGAGGAGAGCATACCTGACCAGACGGCAGAGCCCCTGGTCCGCAATCTGCTGGATGGGCACGCGGGAAGCCTTACGCTTCCAGATTTCCAGCGTCTCCTCTCAGCAACACGAGGCAAGTGGGCCTTGGGCGTGATGCTTCTCCAAGGGCTAAGGCAACGGGATCTACAGCCATCAACATACCAATGGCAGAGAAATTATGGCTGGATGGCAATGGCCTGTGAGACCGCAGGATTATGGTCTAAGGCGCTGGATTTGCTGGAAAATATGGTGGCACGGAGGCTGGAGATTAATCACATTGGTGAGACAGCGTCTGGTTGGCGATTCAGAGGTGGAGCCGGAGCTGCAGGGAGTGGGCAAGCACAGCTCAGTGCACTGAAGCCCAGCTTACGGAAGTTGGTGATCTTGCGACTCTACACAGCAAAGGGCCGCAAGGATGTTGAAGATGTTGCGGTTGCCGCTGCAACCCTTCGCAGATATGGAGCCCCAAAGCCCCGAGACTACGTGGTTCTCCTGTCCGCGTATGGTGCTGTTCACCTATGGCAATCTGCTCTGGGTGTGCTAGAAGAAATGCAGAGTCTACGATTTGCGCCCTATATCGTCAGCTGCAACGCAGCTCTCAAGGCGTGCGAGACAAGTGGCCAGTGGAGTGTTGCTCTTGCTTTGTTTCAGAGCATGCGTATCATGCGTACGACGCCTCCAGACCAGATCAGCTACACCACCCTCATCCGGAGCCTTGGCCGGCAGAAGTTCTGGAATCGTGCCTTGCAGATCTTAGCAGAAATGGACTGCGAGAGCACACCGGATGTGGGGGTATACAGTGCTGCAATGGCCGCATGTGGCAAAGCTCGGAAGTGGTGGCTGGCTCTTGGGCTCTTGGCCGAACTCGAAGCCAAGAGTCTAATCCCTGATGATGCGCCTGGGCGGAACATGTTCCCGTAGATTTTTTTGGTTACTCAGGACATTCAACTAGGTGACACTTTCTGGTTGGAAACAAAGGCTGGCAGCACGCCAAGCCTAAAGAACAGGTGCGTCCTGCTAGGTGGGCGGTTGACAAGAGGCATGGCAAATGGCAAACCCAAATAAGTGGCATTAGACATTGTATGGAGTAGCGTATCCACCCGATGTTAATTGTATCAATGGCACCGATTATGCTGAGTGTATAAAAATAAGTTCTGATTGCTATATTTATCATATTGTTATACATGAAGTATATTAGTTACGATAACTCAATTAATCCAGTTTTGTTGTTGTTTCGGTCCAATATACAAAGCTTTCACGAGATTTGTTTAGATGTAATACTTGTATGAAGAACCTGCATCACGATATTTTAAACATACGATGTTCGAAAAGGGTCCATCAAGCAGTTCTCCTTGAGCCAGACAAGAGGAATGGTCGACTACCTTTTCTTCGCACAGACACTGCTAGATGAACAATTGCTTGAGGGCAGGTTGACTAATTTGGAGCAGCATCGAAAATCGACGATCGGGAAAAATTCGATTGTTACCGCGCTCCTGCCGAGGAGTTAAGTACAGGCGCGTGTCGTGTCGGGGGGGGGGGGGGGGGGGGGGTGACCATACATATATAGATACAAGTGGCGCGGACGTGTCCACACGAAAGACAAATCACTACAACTGCCGACTTCCAACATATGGCAGGGAATACATCTGTTTCTTGGTGACCTCTAAGACTCTAAGGTTTGCGTGGGCACTGCCATGAATGCTTGCGAGCTATCACAGAAGTGGCAGCATGCCCTAGCTCTCCTTCGACGAGTGACAGGAGTGGCCAGAGTAGCGCAAAATTCAGGCTCGGATGGCGTCGATTTCTTGGGCCTCACTGCCAGGCAGTGGGAGCCTCTAGAGCAAGCACTTGGTCTTCGTGAAGTACCTTCTGAAGATGCTGATGAGGACCCTGAGCTGGAGAAGAAGTGGCAGGAGTTCCGGCTCCGCCACCAACTACCGGACGACCAACATGAGGAAGAAGATGTGAAAGCAGCTGAGCAAGTACTGCACACGCTCGGGGGTGGAACTGTGATCAATACTCACATCTATAGGGCAGCAATTGGAGCGTGCTCGCGCTGTCATCAGATCGATATGGCTTTGAAGATTCTGGACGAAATGTCTGAGCAGTTTTCGTTGACACCCATGCCTGTTACAGACATCATAAGTGGTTGTGCGGATGTCAATGACTGGTGCCGAGCTCTGCATCTTCTAACCTTGCCCGACCAGCCTGACATTATACTGTGCAATGCAGCCATTGAAGCCTGCGGCCGTGCTAGGGAGTGGAAGCAGGCAGTTCATCTCCTTCAGCATGCAGAATTTGCACGGCTATTTCCTTCTGTGGTCACCTTTAACACTTTGTTGTCCTGCGTGCCGCTCAAGGAATCGAGCCAGATAGAGGCACTCCTGCAAGAAATGCAGGGCCACAGAATTGCCCCAGATGAAGTGACTGATAGCATCTTGTCTGAGGCAGGGCTGCTGCAGTCTGCACGGATTCAGGCACTCCGCCGGGGCTCGATTGCTCCTTTGGAAAAGGACTTGTAGATCGCGAAGTGTGCGTGCAAGTAAAGACTATTTAGATAGTCTAATTATTCCTGTACATACAGTATACACATAGACATACACGCATGTTTCTCTGTGCATGTGTGCATGCGAAGAGTTAAGACTTGGACCATTTTTGTTCGCTATGAGGACTGTCAGGATGCCCCTTTTGGAACATTGACTGACATCATCTGGTACCTGCATGCTGAGTGCCGATGCTGTTTGATTGAAGTAGCCTTGCTGTATCGGCGCAGCCTTTTTTCCACGACGTTCTATCTTGAGCCACCTTCCACCACCCGCACGATGTCTCTGAATCGAGCAGTTGCCTCCCGGCAAAAATGAGAAGCATTCATGAAAGCAATCTTGAAACAACTGCCGAAATCAAGAATGCTGCGATCTATGCAAGAAATAGGAAGCATGTGGGATGCAGCAGGCCTCAATCCGAATGCATCCGAGTCCAAGAACACTCAGGCTTTCGTTTGGGCCGCGCTTTGGGCTGCGGCCTTCGCAGAGCCAGAGCCAGCTTGCAAGAGCAAGTCTCCAGGCTTGTGAGTCCGGTGAAGGAGTTTAAGCAATTGCAACCACTCGCGTGCACTTGATCAAACGCCCGTGGGAGGCGTTTTGCTGATGCAGACGAAGACTGGCACCCTCACGAAGGCAAAGTTGTTGAAAGCGACGGACACGTGAAAGCGCCACTGAGTCTTGCAATGCGCTGTGCCTATGCAACAGGAATAGCATGGCAAAGCCTTCACCATGTAGCAAGACCATCTTGCCGTGCAGGGGTCTTCCTCCAACCCGGCGCCTTGACAACCAACTGAAGCCACCATGTTTTGTGTGTGTGTGTGTGTGTGGCGTGTGCGTGTGCGTGTGCGTGTGCGTGTGCGTGTGCGTGTGCGTGTGCGTGTGCGTGTGCGTGTGCGTGTGCGTGTGCGTGTGCGTGTGCGTGTGCGTGTGCGTGTGCGTGTGCGTGCGTGAGTGCATGCAGCTTGTGGACTAAGCTGCCTATCGCTAGAGACATTGCAGCTTTACTGCCCGAGTGCTGCCCTATTGACAAGCTGTTGCTGGTCATGAATCAACCACGATACGATGCTTAACCATTGTCTCGTGGCCTCGAGGTGGTGGACGAGATCCGGCGCTCCGGCTGCAGCAAGAGGTGGATCCTAGCGACTGTCAGCCAGGCAAGAGGAACGAAGCAGCCATTGTCACCCGCCCTGCTGGGCTCACTAGGCCAGTTGTCAATAGCTTCACTAGCACAGAAGAGCAGCGCTGGTCAACCTCCTTGAGCCTACTCTTTGAGCAGCTGTGGACACGAGGACACTCAAGCAGGAGATGACAGAAATGATGTCTGACCTGCAGAACAAGGCTCCCAAAACGAGCCGTTGCCCTACCAGTAGGCTTTGCAGGTCGTGTCTTCATTGGTCTTCGTTGGTGGATGATGCGCTTTTCAGGATTCCAAGAAATTCATGTCCCACCACGTGCTTGCAGCTGGCACTTGCCATTTATTGCAGCAGGTGGGCTCCTGCTGCAATTGCTCCACCTTCAAGAAGGATGGACAGGCGCAGCAGCGCATATACCCCACTGCCACGAATTTCTCAGAAGCCGACGACCAGGAAGTAACGGGCCTTTGTGCTGCCTTCGGAGATCCGCACTACATCACCTTCGACGGTGCCCAGACGACCTTCGTGACCTTGCTGCATGGGGAGCTACACAGTTGTCCTCGGACTCAACGGCATGAGACGGCATGATAAGTCAGAGAGGCCTTGAGGGTCGAGAATCGGATCTATTCATACAAACCTCGCTTATGTACGGAAGCCAAGGTGGGTGACATGGTGCAGTGGATGGTCAAATCCAACTCTGTTTGGCTTCAGGCCCTGTCCAAGGGAAGTCAGGCCATCTGGTAGGAAAAGTGCCATGAGAGCAAGATTGCGTTGGTGAAATGGCCACTGTTGTTCAACAATGGCCCCTGCTGTGCAGGGCCGGATGATGGGCTTCGCGGCTGGTGGCCCCTTCCTTTTCGGACACACCCTGGTCGTCTGGAAGGAGGATTACAACCAGCCGCTGAAAGTCAGTTGGGATGGCGAGCTGATCCTCCAGGACATATGCATATGAAGCCCTCGAGCAAGCTAGAAATGTAGCGTTACGCAGCGCAGCTTTCAGGCAACACGAGGAAGACAGGCAGACGACATGGTCTGCCATCTGATGTCAGGACGATGTCAGCGAGTTCCACTTCGAGCAGCAGCCAGGTGTGCTGGATGCATATCGGCGCCAGTCTTGGGACGCCGACGTGTTCGATGATCGAGTTCTTAGCCTGCGAACTCACATGCAGTGCCTTGGATGCAGCCGGCTTGGTTCTCTCTGCACCGCAGTTTCGGAAAACGACATCGAATTGTCAGCATTCGTCCACCTAGTTTGCTGCAAACATCTTCCAAAGAGGCACACTTCTGACCGCTTCATGTCCATTTGATAGTTGTTTGCTGTTCCAATCCTGCAGCGGCTGTCCGAGAAAATGTATAAAACACACTGGCTATGACTCTGCATGATAACAGATGACAGCGGTTGGCAAAGACACGTAATCTGGCTGAGCGTGACTGACCGCCCGAGGTTTGCGGTTGGCACCTTTCCTGAGCGATTCGTGACGCTGCCTGAAACTGGAATTTACATGCCATGTCCTCAGATGCGGAAACTCTTTTAAGCAGTCTTGTGCTACCCATAACGATGAAATGATGGTCGCACACGGTGGCAATCTTAAGCTGATGTTTGCGGCTGATCCAAGGTTCAAACTGCCCAGGAACATTGCTGTATCGCTGACGGGAGTCGATTTCATGTCCGTGGTGGTGTCCATGCCACCAGAGGCACGCCCGTACACAACAGCAGTGGGAATCATTTCACCAAGTTTCCACTGTCCCAGAGAACAAAAGCAAAGTGAGGCAGGGCAAGGCGGCTACTGTGGAGATTTTAACGGTGACCCCGATGACGATGCGGAACCCATCGTGCCTTCCTGGGACCGTCCAATCGGTCGCTTCTTGGGCCCAGTGCCTAAGGCCGGGTTTCGGGTTTAGGGTCAAGTGGCAACGACAGCCTGACACCCACCTCCATTTTTCCGCAAAAAGGGGGTCCGGAGACAGGTATTGACAAGGGTTTCGACTCCGAGTGCATACGGATCTCAGATGGCCATATCTTGTTCTCTAACAGTGCTTCGTTTGGGCCAACGCGCATGACATTGTGCAGCCTTGTGCAGTGCCTCCACAGGCTATGAGCCTTTTCCCAGAAGACCTGACAGTCGCTCTACTCGGAGATTCGGCTAAAGAGCACAGTCGCATGAGCGAGGCAAGTCGGGGCGAAGTACAGTGCTCAGGAGAAAATGAAAATGTGCAGCCCAATGCGATGCTATGGGTTGAGTGTTTTAGTGCGTGTTGTCATATTTGTGTGCGTGTTCGCCGAGAGCAGGCAGAGGCGGTGGCTGCAAAGATCAAGAGTGTCAAAGAATGCCCTCAGCCTCTTCTAGCCAAGGCGGAGGCTCTGTGGGCGCATGCTGCTGTGTGCACATGAGCTTGATCTGTAGCTGCTGCAGCTCTCAGCAGGTTTTGAACTTACCGGTCACACCGTGTCGCAACTTTATGCTCCTAAACATGATAGTGCCCCCCCCCCACCGGAGCGGGCGGCTGGGGAGGGGTGTGCCGGAGGGGAGGGTGCAGGGGAGAGGGGAGGGGAGGGACGGGGGGCGGCTTGGAAAAAGGAGGAGTGGCAAGATATGTCGAAGGAAGAGTGTAGCGCGACAGGACGAGCCAAATCGTGCTGAAGCTACCATATCGGAGAGACAAGACATGACAGATTCTGCCAAGCAGGAATTGCGGGCTCCTTTGTCGTGAAAGGAAGAATGACAGCAGTCCCCGGCGCAGACCATCAACAGCGTTTTTCAATCCTAACGGAGTGATCCCAGAACAGAAGCTGAGCAACAGCAAATATGCGCAGCATTGGAAAGCCGCAGCACTTGGAGGTACTGCAACTCAGCACGCAGCACAGCTATAGGGCTGCCATGCACAACGCAGTTTAAGCAGTGACAGCTCCAAGCACGTGCTAAACTGCAATTGACAGCATTCCAAAGCAGAGCATGCGCTCGTAAGCCAAGTTCAACTCTCAGATTGCAGCATTTGGCATCTCCGAGCATATGATCGTAACTCACAGATTGCGTCGCATGCTGATCCCAACGTGGCCGACATTGAAAATGTGTAGTGGCTCTAGCTCTCCCCTTCTGCTTATCAACCGGACGCCACAGCACACAAGGACAAGTTACAAGGCAATGTCTACCACAAGCACGGTGGAGTATCTGAAGTTCTTATACCTCATGTCAACACTTCCAGGACTGCAGTGCAGGTATTTGCGCATGTTGCGCATAGAGAAGAATTAACACACGCCTTGTCCCAACGTGCCTTTTATCAGGCGACCCGACTATCTCTCTCTCTCTCTCTCTCTCTCTCTCTCTCTCTCTATATCTATATATATCAAAGGGAGACAAGTGGCAAGACATCCGAAGCAAGTTGGCCCCCCGGCTTGTTCTTTAAGCTATTAGCTGCTAGCCCTGAGAAGGTAGTGCGGACAAATCGGCCAAGTAGGGCCTCCCGACACCTCCTGAAGCCCAGAAGGCGACCCATTTAGGGTGAGGGGAGACGGGAAAGGAAGGCATATTCCTCCGTGAACAAAGTCTGGCCAAGCCACGAACATGGAGCTCAGCGTCTTGTCATGTCTCATCTCTTTGAGCGTCCGCAGGCAGCGTGCAACGGATTGCAGGCCTCCTTTCACAAGCCGCCAAGCAGCGAGATTTCCGGATGCCCTTTGCGCAACTTTCACATGATTTTTTTGTTGGAGAGCTTCGCGAGTCAGCGAGTCAGCTCAGCGAGTCAGCCGCGCGAGTCTCCTCAGGTTTTGTGTCTTCGACGTTTGCATGACCAAAGACCTCGGCGCCGCTGGCTCTGTCGGTGCGGCTGCTGTGGTGGAGCACAAGGCTGGCATGCAAGCACCCAAATCACCCGAAAAGCGTAGTTAGCACGGTAACAAAGCTGCATCTTTGAAGCATGGAATCTGGCGGTGTTGAGCCTTTCTGCTAGGTGAATGCCAGAGGTGTTCCTGTCTTCATGGGACACGGCCGCTGTTTGGACAAAGATGGCCATGGCTTCATGAGCTTCGCAACAAAGCTCCGTACAGAGCCTTGGACATTGGGACATTGGGAACTGGAAGGTCATTCTTTGACTGTCACCAACCACCCCACTCCCTCCCCCATGCAATAGACAATACAGCGTGCTGCCCTCATTCCTAAAACTGGTTCCAGAACCCGCATAGAAAACAGCGGCAATGCGCAACGTTACTTAAATCCTTTTGCTGTACGGTTCTTGGTACGGGGGGATGTTCGAAGTGGGAATGTTCTTATTATCTCTCGTGGCGTGCCACATTCAAGGCGTGGTGTTTTTGTTTACAGGATGGCTTTTTTTGAAGCATCAATGGGTTTGACCTTAATTAATGACTGGGCACGCTACCCTTCAGTTTAAGTTAAACCTACACCCATGGTGGTGCACTCGGCTTGCCTTTGCTACTGTTTGGAGGGAGGGCCTGGTGTGTGAGGGGAGAGGCCACTATCCCGGACCTTCTTGGCCCGGTGTGAGGGATTTCAGCATGATAGAACTCACCCATTCAACCACCCAAGAGAGATTGATGTTGGGGCGTCCTGGCCAGGGCGCGCGCCCTAGAAGGTTCTCGATCGAAGTCGCCGTCATGATCTGACCTGCATCATGCTGCATGAGGGAAAACACTCAACATGAATCGAGATGAGACATTGTGGATGCCACGAGGACACCGCCTGTCAGCAGCTTCTCCGTACCCTGGCACTCACGGACGGCGTCATGGGAGCACAGCTGAAGCGTGGTGGGCACTGCGAGGCGCAGCAGAGAAGCCAGTCCTCTTGCAGACTTGTGCGCGTTGTGGCTTTAGACATTGTTCCATGTTCAATGTCCTTCTTTGCCAGTCTGTAGGTTTTGACAACAAAGAATGTTGACCCCACAAGCACGGCCATTCCTGGTGGCTGGGGCATGCCGGACCCTCCCAGCGAGGACACTGTCAGCTTGCAATTCCTGTGTCGTGGTCAGCTTTAGGCCCCAGCACTTATGACAGCAGTGAAGATGATGTGCTTTATGGTGATGATGAGGATGATGATGATGATGACGACGATGATTGGGGGTGGTGGCATTTTTTGATCGGGAGGATGGTTGAAAGCCGAACCAATCCCATTGATGAAGTGCAAAGTTGGGTAGCGCGTGTCCGTCGGCTAACAGCATATGAATAAATCACTCAATGGAGGACGTTTGGCAGCAGATCTCCGCTTTGCCGGTGCAGCACTTGTCAGCGCAGGCGGATGTTCACGCGCAGGCGGGTGCAGAGTGGCGACCATCCCGACCCCATCCTCGCATCAGGACTCAAGATAATGAGCAAATGCATGCTTACGTGCCATGAGAAGTTGGAGACGTTTAAAGGCAGAAGCGGGAAGGTCGAAGCACGCCTGTCACTGGCTTCTGAACAGTGGAGACTCGAAGCATTGCATTGCATTTTTTCCTGGGCTTGGCAGGCCGTCTCCCCAAAGCTGGGAGATTCAGAAGGGCTCATCGCAGACACTACAGAATCTTGGATTCCTTGAGGTCCATACCGTTTTTGCTGTCACGCTTTCCTGTATTTGGTTTGTGGCCGATAGAGCAGCTTCGGCTTTCAGGAAGACGGCTCGTACAACTGCTGGCAGTTGAACTGAGCCGTTGGGTGCCTGCGTCTTCAAGAACTTTGCTCTTTTGATGGGGCGGTAGGCTCCAGCTGTAAAGCTCCTACTCTCAGGCAAACATGCCCGAGAATTCACGATATCCGAGACTTCAAAGGCAGCCGCTTGAAAGACTACGGGCCGGACTTTGATTTGCACACCGGCCGTGGCCAAGCGGGGTGCAACTGCCTTTGAGCGGTTCAATGGCAACAACTGCCATGCAGAGAAGTAGGTCGGTTTAGATGCACTTCTATAGGTGTGCTGCTGACTGCCAACGTCTCCGCGCCTTACAGCGCGAGCTCATCGTGCTCGACGCGGATACGCTAGGCACTGGCAGGGCGAAGATAATTCATGAGCTGGGGGTCCAGTTTAGCCCATTCGGACTCCTTCCAAAAGTTAATTCGTGGAACCTTCTGGCACAGCAGGTCGTTCTGAACTAGTTTTGCCCAAGATGCGTGTGATGATGTTCGTCCTGGCTCCCATGTATTTGCTGAGGATGCTCAAGAGACTTTATTGTGCCGAGGGGGGGAGGAGGGGCATCACAGGGCAGGAGCAACTCTTCAATCAACCCACGACGTACAATTGCAATGCCCACAAGAGTATCAAAAAATGTCCCGCTTGTGAGCCATGGGCGCCAAAGTCACAAGCACACAGAAGGCAAGTGGATCGAAATGAATTACTTCAGCTTTTTTTCAAGCCCAACTTCATGCGCTTGGATGTGATTGTGCAGGTCCAGGGCGACGCAGGCCAGCCCCATGCCGAATTTGACCTGGGCCAGGGCCCTACTGTACGGCGGCTGCAAGGGGGAACGTTTCAAGCTACGCCTATGCCTTTGTTCATGCGCTCGAAGGCGGAATTCCCAATAGGTCTCGGTAAGTTTGCTCAGAGTCCCACATTGCTGACCGGAGAACCTCCGAATTAGAAAGCTCTAGAGCCCCAAGGCTTCATCATCTTCAAGTGCCATGTGCGTTTGCGCAGCGTCCATTGCTGAATGACTTTCAGCTACATTCAAGTGCAGGCCCGTTGCCCCCTCAACCGGATGTTGCGCTGACAAGCACGCTCAGCTGCGAGGCTTCGTGCTTGTTGGTGGGTAACGATGTATGAATGTAGTAATGTAGCAGCATTCGTTCTGTTTTGTGTTGGGATTCATCGTGGAATCCTTTGAGGACTGTGACATAACCTTTGCAGCCACACATGTTGCGTAGTCGCACTCTTTTTGGAGTTGCTGTGAGCCGAGTCCACACTAGGTCCGATGCGAGAAAATGAAAGAGTGTGGAAAACTGCTTGTAAAATACTACGAATGTCAGCTGCGCATGGCTGCACGCGCGCTTCCACTTTCGTCATGCGCTTCCACTTTCGTCTTGGCCGATCAGGTCCTCAACACGACAAAGGGGTTGTCACCTTAAGCCTGGTTTTTGTGAGCAGGAGTGTTTTGAGCTGCTGGGACGCCACCTTTGCATTGTTTAAGCCTTATGCTTGACGTGCGTTCTGCACTTCAAGTTGGCCATGCGAATGTGCGAGTGAATCAGGCTTTTGCGAGGATGCTGGGGAAAGTTCACTGCAGACGTCTCAACCTTAGCTTGTACACGGACTACGAGCCATTCCTGTCATGAGATTCCTAACGTTCAAAGACATGGCAAGTGGCAGCCTCTGCAGGCCTTCTACAGACACTTCCCTGGAGTGGATGCGATGAAAACCATCCGCAGCTTGCACCAACATGCTCCAATCCCCAATCCCACGTTTGCGGAACTGTGTTAAGCTCCGTGTGTTTTGTGCAAGCACTATTTATCGTCCTTAGAGATGATTGGTGGACGAAACCCAAGGCCACATCATCCTGCACGTCTTCGACATCACAAAATATGCGGTGCGGGAAGGTGAGGAGATTGAGGCTTGATCTCGGGGCAGTTGTACAGAATCCTGCTAGAGCCGCAATAGCCCACACAAAGTCATGTGGCAGGACGTGGAGTTGCTCGGCGAGGGCAGCTTCTCCAAAGTTTATGGGCACATTCCTGAGGGGATGTAAGGAAGTACCAGTCTCTCCGAAGCTATCCATTTGTACCATGTCACGACACTACGGGGAGCGAAGGCTCGGCGCGATTGCCGCGAAGGTCATCAGTGACAGTGAACGACCTTGGGTACATAGGCTGGGTCAGGTACTTGCATGACTCTCGTGCTAAAAAGGCTTCTCAAGTTTGAAGCTAGGCTAGCAGTGGCGACATATCAGCATGGTCTAAGAGGATCAGTCGTTGCCAGGGCAGCAGTCCAAAACGGACTTCTTGCCGACCGACACGGCTATGGCGACTGGCCAAGCACTGGCGAAAGCATGCCCAGAAGCTGACTAAGAACCTTATTTAACTAATTCTCTGATTGGATGCGTGCGTAGCGGGCAAAACTAAGCCAACAAATGCAGTCATCAACGTGCCGCCTGTTCTCCCAGGCCCTGCAATTTTTGGGCATGGTCGTGTGCAGCAAGACATGGGGGGACATTTTAGAGGCGAGGTGCCTGACTAGTCCACGAACGGAACCAAGTCGATTACCATGTGCACCATCGCCAGGCACGCTGGTTTTCATGGAGAGACTCTATCCTGCTGGCGAGGACAGAGGGCCGACAGCTGCACAGCAGAGTTGAGTGCCCTGGATGGGGAACCAAAAGTTCATACGGATCAAAACTAGAGAGCACAAGTTTGAACTTAATTAGGTTGTAGATTGTCATAGAGATACATGTATGACTTCTGGCCTTATTCCCCAATGCGTAGCGGAGGGTTCCCGTTTGAAGAGGTGGGGTTCACGGGGTCCGGGAGTTCACGCGGTATCGCGCGTGTTGTGTTGCAAAAGTGCAGACAGTCACGAGGCTGAGGCCTCTCAGAGGTTTTGGAGGTGCGTCGTCTTCGTGGCTGTCCTCACTTTCGACTATGAGTCGTTGAAAAAGTGCAGACAGACACGAGGATGAGGCACCTGGGCGGCGCCATCCTCGTGAATGTGGTCACTTTTTAAGCTTGGTTTGTTGTTCACGGCTCAAACGTGCCGACAGTCGAGAGGATGAGGCACCATCCCCGTGACTGTCTCGTCACTTTTTAGGCTTGGTTTGTTGTGCACAGCTCATGATTCCCAGGTTTTGCTCATCGGCGGGGTGAATTGGGAACAGATGACAAAGTGTTCCAGATTTCTGGTTTTGCGTATTGGGGTGGGGGGGGGGGGGGGCGTGAGTGGTGAATGTCTACAAAGTGTTCCTGATTCCAGCTCCAAGGTGTTCAACGTGACTTTGTAACATGTTGGCTCTCTGTGCAAGAGGTAATGTGGATCTGATGCAGTTCAGCTGGTCCTCAGCTGTTCTGCTCTGTGAGTTGTGTTCTCACGGTGCTGCTTCTTGTGCCTACGACTTGAGGACTGGTCGGACGCAGACACAGACGACATCTTAAAGGCGCAGATGTGCGCGTTGCAGCGCAAAGCGCAGAGCAAGCGCGGTCCATCGCAAGGATCACCAGCCTGCCCTTACGACAGGCAGTTCAACTTGTCGCCAAAGATGCGTTTCACAACGACCTCAAGGCATAGTTACGTGTTATTGCTGACCTTTCTGCTCTTCCTACTGCCTGCGCGCTCAAGCAAACTTTCATATCCGGACCAGAAGCTGCTTTCCAGATGCCCAACATTCTTCGGAGAAGAGGGCGGCCTCTTCTGTTCCCAACTTAGCATTTCGACAAGTTTATAACTTTTCTACGCAGCGTGGCACCTGCCCGTCAGCAGGATTGACTTCGACCTGTTATCGCCTTGGTCCGTGAAGGCTCTCGCGTTGGAACGGCGTTAAGACGAGCAAGTTGACCGTGTTCCACCTCAATCCTTGTTCTGAAGAGGTGGCCGTCACATCAAGCTGCATCGAACACGTCAAAGCCTCATGTGCCCTTGCTTCTGGGAGGGCCAGCCATGCCGCCCAGAGTAAGGTCGGATCGGTTGCTTAGAGTTCCAGCCAAAGGGAGTTATCGTACTGAGACAGTGGTTTCTTGCTCATGAACTGAAAGAGCTAAGGATTTCCAGCCAGTTCTTGCGCCAGCAGGCAGGCAGCGCGCTGAAGCAAGCCTGTGCACGTTGTAGTTCATTGGTTGCAGTTTGGATTATCGCAAATAGCTGAGAACTTGGTTGAGCATGGGGTATGGCTCCTTTACTGGCAGCATGCAACACAAGACTCGGCCCGGCACACTACCCATGTGCAGACATCCGAGCAGGAGAGAGATGCACCCAATGCTTTCGGGAGTACTACGACCTCTTTGCCTTCACGCTTACGCTTCAGGAGTCTGCCCCATCGTTGCATGCCATGACATGCTCTACATCTCTACATCTGGAATGCGCGCTGCTCACATCGGTGAGTCGTTGTCAGCCAACTCACGAAGTACTCATGCGGCTTGCAGCCGTATGTAGCGGTCCCAGGGTCATGTTTCCTACGAAGACAAACTCAGGCCGGGCTCGAGCACGGAGGGGTGGCAGACGGATGGTAGCATGTGGTGGCATATTGGCCTCGGACAGCATGGAAGACGTAATGGCCGCTGTCATTAAGACAGCGCAGCAACAGAGTTCAGGTGTTGAAAACTTGCGGGCACTGTTTAAAATATCCTTTCCGACAGAACAGAGGAAGACGTTCCTCACTCCTCGCCTCGCTTCAACAAGGATTAGTTAAGTTTAAGTGGCCTCGCTGCCTCTCGCATGATCTCACGGCATCCGACTTGAAGGCTTCTAGGCTTGATTAGCAAAAGCTTCAGTAGCCGCCTCGTCGCCTGCCTACGAATCTCACCGTGCCTGTCACAGAGGTCCAAAGTGCGGTGCGAGGATGACTGGACCTTACCTGTGGGATGACCGCATTCAAAGAAGAGCACCGGTAGCTGCGCGGAGACTCCCAGGGTGCTGAAGTTCTAACATATCAGACAGACAAACACACTGGGCACCCGTACAATTCCGTATTCACCCCCAGCAAAAACTTAAGCAGGCTCCGATGCCGAAGTCGGTGTAGTCGTGTGTGCGCAGAAGAACTGTCCAAGATCACCTTGAACGAGGCAACCTCCTTCTCGAATCGCAGCTTTGATGGTCTGGAACTTACAGACTCAAGGAAGTTAACTGACTGGTAACGATGCAACTTCCGCTTGGAGTCAAGGCTGCGCTCGCACCGAGTTCGACGTTTGTCGATGCGGTGTGCTTCGTCAGCAAAAGCTACCGGGCAGCTACCGGGGCTACCGGGCGCAAAGAGTAAATCTGGAAGCTGAGCCCAGTCAGAATTAGAGTATTAATCAGGAGTTGATGCCTGGGTCAGGGTCACGAAAAGTAGCTGAAACCAGTTTGCGGGCACTACTCGTATTTTATTGTTTTGCTAAGCTGCCTGTGCCATGACTATGTCATAACTCTTAAACGATCCAGATGGGGATCTGCCCGAACTGCAAGGCAGGGCGGTTTGCTTCATGTTCGAGAAGTTGACTTCGCTACCACTGAAAAAAAGGTGTGGAAACGGGCCTCACAGCCTGGCTCCACCATTCACAGCTGAGCCAAGCCCTGAGTGAGTGCTTGTGACATCATCGGAGCACAGCCGACTGAGCGCGAATTGAGCACGATGGAGATGCAAGGCACAGCGCAGACGTGTGCAAGAAGTGCGCAAAGACAGAAAGCTGCCAGCAGCAGCCTTCGGCATGGAAAGCTTTGCTGGGGCGAGGCTGTGTTGATGCGCAGTGCTCTGATGGGCTGATGGGTAACCGAGGTGGTGCCCACTAAGCCAAAGCTGCGGTACGAAGCGCACCTTCGGCTTCAATGCTAAGTGCATGGGATCCCGTGATCAAGATCAGCCTGCCAGCCGCTCAGCAAGTGCGGACTATCAGGGATCTCTGTATACCTCCGCATGCCATGATATGCTCTGCGTTGCTCTAATTTTCCACGTTAAATTGGCAAGGCTGAGGCTTGGCTCCACTCCTGTAAATAGGTTTCTATAGGCTTCCTGTTTGCAATTGTTTGCTGCGTGAAGTGAGCACCACATCCTGTGCTGAAACTCCTGCCATCTCTTGTGTCGTTCTTCGGCCAAAAGATCATCGCGCGACACATGCTTCCATGCCAGCTCGAGGTCGATTCCGGTGCAAATTGCGACGGCAAAAAGCCAGACTGGATGAACATCCTAGCCACCGGCCCAGCTGTTTGGAAGCCCACCACGGCAAGATGATGTCAGATCCTTTGTCTGCTGCTTAGGACACAAAGTATGGCAAGCGGATAGAGCAGGCGCCGCGCACACGGCACTTGTAGAGCCTGAACCTGCTTCCGTTTTGTCCGGAAACAGGCGGACTCTGACATAATGCGCTGCCTTCAGGGACGTTTGCGACCCAGTTTTCGGGACTGCTGCAGCTGGATGTTTTGGATGTTTTTGGTAGAATTCAGTGAACGGCAAGTCCAGGCGTCGAGCGCTGGACAGCAGCTCGGGCTGCATGAGGAGGTGTGCAGATATTTGGCCGGCAGTGGCGCCTGGCTTTACATATCAGCATGCGGAGCCAGCACAGTTGTGTTCCGAGCATCATCTCCCACCACATGGTAGATCCGCTGCTCGACTCTGCCAACATGGCTGCAGGTAGCCATACATTCACTACTTGGAATGACAAAGTCGTGGAACCCATGGTTCCTGATGGTCACCGATAGACGGTAGAGTCAAATCGGCCACAACTCGACTTTACCGCTTTGCCATGTGCAACCATGCAGCTGGTACCTCAGGTCTGGCCCGAGCTCGAGAAGACTGGCAGAAGTTCGAAGGAGGCTCGAAGATGCTGGAAGCAGCTTGCGTGGACATTTTCATCTTTTTTCATCTGCCCACTGTCCAGAGTTAGCAGTGGTCAATATGCGTCATGCCGAAGCCAATCCCACACTGACCAGCTAGACAGATCATTGCCAACGCGCCTTCTTGAGCAGGTGTGGCAACAACGCACAGGCGTTGGAAAGTAAACCATCATCATTCGTCATGAGCTTGTGCAAGGCTGCAGCAAAACCAGCACCATGCCTCGGCCAACAAGCAAGAAATAAGTACGGCGAAGCAAGATGAAGTAAGCAGTTTAAGCAATCTATCATGAGACTACACTGTTTAAGCCCAGCCATTGTCAGCAAGCTGCTTATACCGGCACGGTCTACCTTGTTGCTCCTGTGGCATGTCGCCATGGCCAAACTCGCAGGGAGGGCTGCGCAAGATGACGGCCCCTTACTTCTAAGGCCCACTACGGTGAATTATCCAAAACGCACGAGTGCAAGCCGGGTGGATGTGCCAGCGGCAGGCAAATCCTCCGCTTTGTGGTGCCAGTTACTGCAGCCTATGCCCTAGAAGGTCGGACACCCAGAGGTCAAGGTGTCAATATAGGAAAACAGCACAACCTGTTGCTGCCGACTTCAGCAGCGGTGAGGGCGAGGCCTTGCAAAAGACAATGGAGTACCGACCAGTTTGTCGCGTCGTGGTCAGGTGCAGCCACTGTGGTGCCGATATGGGCCGCTGCACATGGTGGCAGTCCAGCTGCTCGGCTACATCTAGCCAGACAGATCCGTGGCAAAAGGTTGGGCACAGGGAGGGCGCGCTGCTAACTTTTTGTCGTTCTGGTTTTACTCGCTTGAAGGCTTGATTGACTTGGACTTAGCTCCAAGATTCGGTGGTAGTCGGTGATCGGATGAAGTTCAATAATTTAATATTGTGGCTTTTGGTTCTGTAATCGAGCCGCTTAGCATGAAGCAGGATGGCACGTGAACAGAAGGTCCCTGTGTTTAGCCAGGATGAACATGAAGCGACAATGCGAGTTGGTGCTGTCGGATTGGGCAACACCGTGGTGGTCTGCGTGGCCATCGTGATCAAATCAGGTTGGTCAGGCCAGTTGGGGGGGGTTGGAAGGTGCCCTTCTGCTGTAGCAGCCCTGGGTTCTGCGCCACGTAACACAGAGTAGCTCTCCGACTTTTCATGGTCTTCGTGAAGAGTTGGCATGGAAACCTGATGTGCCCTTTGTTTTCAGGGGCCCAGGACACATTGGTGTCGCAAGCCTACGGCATCAACGACCATCGCAAAGCCCGAGATTATCTGAATTGTTGCCAGATTTGGATGTTACTGTTGGCTGCCGCGTGCTCTTTGCTACTCCTGCAGACAGAGGCCGGGAGACAGGCATCGAATAGTGTCCTCTACATGGTAGCGTGCAAGACTTGTGGCCTCATCGTGCATGACGGCTGTTTAACTTTCGGGTGCTGGGTGTTGGGGGCATGGCGCTTGGACCTCGGCGCTACGTTGTGTCAGGAACTTCGCTTGTGCGTATGCATTCACGGTCAGCAGCAGCCCAGATGAGGCGCTGCTGGTTTGGATCAATTGCGCAAGTGAGCAACTTGCCTCCGAGACCTTCAAGCATCGTGGCTACCATCGCAGCATGCTTGTCTATTATCGCTGGTTTTAAGACAACCCAACGCTATAATTACCTCAAGCACCTTTTTGTTCCCATTTTTTGCCTGAGTCAGGTATGTGCTCGCCTGCATTCCTGGAGTTTGGCTCGAATTTCAGTGCCTTGCATGTCAAGTTGGGGAGCTCTTGGCTTGGGAAACGCTACAACCTGCCTTAGTTGCAACTTATGGCTCCCGGTTGCAAATGCTTTCCTAGCTGCACGGCAAAGGGCTCTTGCTTTACGAACTGGGGGGGGTCTGGGTTGAGAGCACCTTGGCAGCATGCGCTTCGGTTCCTCCTGCAAATCTTCTTGGGTTCGGAAGCGTAACAGGTCGGAGTTGAGGTCTTCGCAACAGAGGGCATGTGGGCTGGTCTCAGAAATCCACCCTTTCGTTCATAGGATTTCGGAAAGTCACAATGCAGTCGTGAAGTGCAAAACGACTGAGGGTGTGTCTTAAGTAATTAACAGGACTTAATTCGGCCTGAATGCAGGCGGCCCTGTGTTTCTCCACAAGGAACACCAGCATGTCACACATGTTATTTTCTTGTGTGTGTTTTTTGTAATGAATTTAGCCGAGCCACTGCCGCAGCGACAGTCGAAACGTGAAAGCCTGCACGCTCAAATAAATGAAGTCATTTACGGTTATCACTTTCCTCCAGAATCATTGAGAAGTATGGTTTCATGAACTTAGTTCATGCATGAGTCTCCCCCTTCCAAGGAACGTCTCATGAAATGGGCGATATGAAAAAAGCAAAGTCAAATACAATTACAAGTCTAGCTTGACTAGCATTGAATTGCCCTAATTTGTATCTTCTCAACTAAGTTGACGACATAAGCGTCGTTTGGTGATTTATTTGTTCAGGTAGCTAAGAAA